CTTATTCCAAAGTTGGGGCCAAAGTCCTGAGATATGGTCCATGCACTGGGAAAATGGAAGTAGAGCTAAGCAATATTTAACAGAACAAATAATGTTAGTTACTGGAACAGATGTGGCCTCCAAATGGACTACAGTTTGCAAATGTCAATGGCATCAATAATGAAGATATTTATGGCTTTAGCTGGAAGTAATGGAGATGTCAAGGGCAACAATTGAATTTTCCCTCTGGCATAAAAGAATGTATGCATTCCGAGGTCTGACTGTGGTCATCAGAGTGTGTCTGGAAATCCTGGATTGGGTGGGTGGATATACACATGGTCCACAGAATAGAAAGTGTGGGAGGTGAACGTAACCTGAATATCTTAAGGAATGTTCAATGGTAAGAACTGGCATAAAGACTTAAAACATTGTAAAATTTTATATGTGTGTGTGTGTGTGTATGTGTGACCAATATAAGTAATAAAAAAGAGGTTATCACCACAAATCCTACTGAAATAAAGAGTATAGTATGAGAAAACTGTAGACAAAGGTATGTCAACAAATTTGACATTTTGGATGAAACGGACACATTTCTTGAAAGATATGGTACCAAAATAGACACAAGATGAAACGGAACATTTCTACAGTCCTTTATCTATTAAAGAAATTGAAACTGCTCTCAGAGAATTTTCCATGAAGAAGTTGTAAGTCCAGAGGATTTCACCAGTGAATCCTTCCAAACATGCAAAGATACAGCATGAAACTTAGACAAAGTTTCCAGATTGACAAGGTGAATGAAGCCCGTCCTACTCCTTTTATGCGGTTGGCATATTTAAATCCCCAAATCTGACAAAGACATCTGTGCATACATGACCACATGTGTTCGTATGAAAATATCACCCATGCCAACCTGCTCCTTATGCCCCGAGCAGCAGTAGGTAGCTCCAACTGCTTGGTATAAATTCTACATTATACATATGCATGCAATTTCATTATCAAACAGACCTAGTAACATATTAGTGCAGTCTTTGTTTTACACAGACATAACATCAGAAATAAAATATAAAGAGAATCATATTGCTGTTTTGCTCACATAGTAATCTTTTTAGAGATTATTCATATGTTGATTTATGGAGATCTAATTTATTATTTTAATTTCTTACATTTTCCATTTTGAAGGTGTCATAACTACCAGACTGTTAAATTTATATTTAAACATTTCAATGTTACAAAAAACAAATGAGTGAATGATTTTTATATGTATCAATATTTTAAAATTGATGCATTTTGTGAATGCATTTTGGAATTTTGATAAATACAACCAGATTGTCCTTTCAAAACTTCTCTGTATTTTCTGTTCTCACTTCTCACCATCTTCTGCCTGGAGGTACAAATTTAAGTCACTTTTCCAACTATCGTCAGAGCTTTGCTCAGAACCCTTCCCTATGGAGACAGAGCCCCTTTCGAAATTGGACTCCCCTCCCAGTACACTCCATGTCCTACCTGGGATTATTTTTCATCTCAGAATTAGAAACAGGTGATGTATTTGGCAACTACTGGCTAGCTTGTTTGTATTCTGCCTCCTTTCTCTGGAAGATCCCTCACTGAATCATGCACTGAGTCTGTCTGTTCCCTGCTGAACGTTGAGGTTAGGCTGTTGTGGACACATCACATGTGCTGCATCAGTGTTCATTGAACACAGACCAAGCCGGGACAGTAGGAATCTTACAGAACACACACTCTTCATAATGTGTCCTTGGACAAGTTTATGGTATATTGGACTGTAATATATTTTCTAGGGTATTACGGTAAGAGAACAAGAAAAATCAAGTCACTCTGCAGAGAACTGAGTCCTGTCCTGTCATTGAGGGCATACAACCTGATAAGGGCCGGTACGCGATTCAGTGCTGCTGACACAGGCTTTTGCTTCAAAATAGGAATTAAAACTCAAGAAGAGCATGGAAAAAAGCAGTTCCTATTTAATTGATAATAAAGGTTTTGATAAAGGACTATGTCCAGGGGCTGACTGACTAAAATATCACCACAGGAATAGAGGGCCCATCAGTTAGTAAAACAAATATACAGTCTGAAATTAAAACAAAGAACAAACAAACAGAAACCAACTGAAAAACACCCACACAGGAACATGAAACCAAAGTAAACAGTGAAAGAGACAATGGGAACTTTCTTTCTGGATGCTGCCCTCTCTGACATTTGTGGGATATCATAGGTAGTCCTCTCCATATCTATTTGTATGCCTAAAAGTTTGCAGAAGTTTCCCAAAAAATTAGGAAGATCATGGAACATCAGATTTTCGTGTGTGTGTTTCTTTTTCTCTCCACATGGATATCTTAAGCTATTCTCAAAGGCAAGCATGACCTGAAAGGAAGCTCCAAGGAGTGAGGATTTCCAGTGAGAAAATTTGAGATAAGGTACCAATGTTGGTTCTTCCATTCACATTTCATGTTTATCTGTTCTTTGTCTGGGCTGTTTGCCACCTCAGAGTGTTTTCAAACAACAATGACATTTAATGGGAAAATGGTGGTCCTTTCCTGAGTCAGACTCATGAGGCACCCTTGGAAGATATGCTGAAATATACAACATGGGCAATTATTTAATAGAATCATCCCCATTTTCTGTTAATTTAAAATAGTTCCTGTCAAAAAGGAACATGTTCAATAATGCCCTGTTCATCCGTTTCCGGGGAGGACTGCCCTAAATACCAATATGCGTGTCTTTCTTCCTTCTTTAAAAAACATTCCCATTTGTCTTATTGAACCCATCATGATTCTCTTTCCCTTTCTTCCTGTGTCTCAGGTACAACTAGTCATACAGTGGGGATGCTGCTAGACAACTACTTCCTTCTAAACACACCTTGGCCAGCCCACTCCTGCCTTCTAGAGCCTTGCTTGCTTCATTGCCCAACTAACTGTGCTGACAAGAACCCCTTCTATTTCAGCCATAATCTAGTGAGTTAGGTTGAAAGACTCTTGAACATGGCCCTGGATTCTAGGTTCTTAGCAGCTACTTTAGTATTTCTTTTCACCAAGAAATATCCTTATTATACAGCAGCATGGCCTAAACTTGCCCAATCAAAAAATATGTATATATCCTGGGGGACACACTGACTCATCCATCAACCAGTTCTAGGCACTGAGGATGCAGTCAACACCAAAAGTTCAAAGACCATGACACTGTGGAATTACTCTTTAGAGACTGCTTATAGGGAAAAAAAAAAATGAATAGAGTTAAAAGGGGAGAGGAGTCATGGAGGGTTGGGGGATTTGCATACTGTAGGGATGGGCAAGCGTCTGAGTCAGAAGGATCCAGTATAGCTGAAAGAGAGGAACAGAGGAGTCGAGTAGCTGCCAATGGGTTCGGAAAAGAGCAGATCATGGAGGGACTTGCAGGCTGTTATAGGGTTTGGGGTTTTATTCTACGTGAAGGTTACAGGTTAATACATGTTAACCAGGATTTGTCAACCTTGGCCTGATCGGCACTTGGGGATGAATAATTTATTATTAGGGGCTGTGCGTTGTAGGATGTTTAGCAACATAGTTAATCTCTACCCACTAGATGGAAGGTATATCACCCCTCGTTCCCATGGTGACAGCCAAAGTTGTCATCAGACATTTCCAGTTGTCTCTTTGGATGGCACAGTGACCCCTGGTTAGAGCTAATACCCTATAGACAGTTTTAGAAAGCCTTGCCCAGATCTAGTCAAACCAAACCCCCTGGATAAAGCCTAGAAATCTACATTCTGGGGAAGCAGAACCCAAGAGGACTCTTAAAAGTAGACAAGCTTTGGAAAGATGGCTCTAAACCTTGCTACTGAAAAGTGTGGTTTTAAGACCAGAAGGAATGACATCTCTTGGGTGCTTGTTAGAAAAGCAGACATCCAGGCACAGCTCTACACATGCTCCATCAGAACCAGCATTTTCAAATGCACCCTCTGGCGATCACTGAGCATGTTTGTATTTGACAGGCACTGTGTTGGAGAATTTCGACAGGATAGAATCTCAGAAAGTAGTCTTGTGGATAATGATCTCATCTTAGAGTCTAAGTACATTGGATCATTGGTCAGAAATGTCGAAGAAACAGGGTGCTTCTGGTACCCAGGGTCAGATCTTCCCTGCACTCTGTAGAAAGGAGAGATGGGATCTAGGAAGGTGAAAACAAAGATCACAGAGACAGCAGAAAAAACAAACAAAAACTTGTAAAGTGGAGAAATATCCTACACAGATACAGAACCCTGGACAACGTTGAGAAGGAAAGACCAGGAAGATCTACATCGGTTACCTTAAACATTATTTATTGGATTACAGGTGTTCACGTTTGTGTCAGAGGGCACTGTTTTTATTTATCACTCTGTTACTCACATTTTGACCAATATTAATGAAAGATAGTTGGGACTTGAAGGTCATATGACTTCCTTTAAGGATAAAATAAAAGGATAAAGAGGATCTAAAGACCAAGATGTTGTGATAATCTCTTAGAATAATGAGTCTTTATTTTCCCCTTGATTGGCAGTTAGAATGATTTTCTTAAGAAGGGGTGTTCTTAGGATATATTCCCAGGAAACTCGTGTTGCTAGGACTCCAGTGGAAAAAGCTTGGAATGTTAGAGTTATATAAGAAAAGATATAGAGGGTGAAAATAGGTAGAATAGTATGTTAGCTGGGATTATACCCGTACTAAAAACTATCCAAATCAGGGAAGTGATGGGGAAAATTTATGAGGACATTGTGAGACATGAGACCTTTCTATTTTATAGTCTTTGCAATAGGAGGTTACATAGGACAATACACAAAGTAATAAGTGATACAAAGAGAAAAATAAATCTTGGAACCAAGAAAAAAGAAAACAAAAATGAGAAAGACAATAACATTGAACAAATAGTCTTTGTCCACTCTGAGTAGGAAGGCAAGTGGCCAATTAAAGAAATATGGGGAAGACTCCTTCCAGCCAAGTTCTCCTCAAACGGCAGACAACAAACAAAGAGAAGTGTTCTGAGGCTCTGAGGTGCCCCTGGAGCAGGTAGATGCCCCGCGTCAATATGGTGGGTGTTTTCACTCAGCTGACGTGGAAATCATGAGAGCACCATTGTTTGTTAATTTTTACGGTATGATCAAAATATATTTGTAGGGTATCTATCTGAGACATTAATGGGAAACAAATAAAGATACATGAAAGTAGGAGAAAAAAACAAAAGAAGAGGTTCTTTGGCTGATTCGATGTCATTGAAAATAGCCAGTTGTACAGAAGGAGGAGGAAATTTGTGTTTTCCTTTCAAATTTCTAAAAATTGGGGAACTATTATAACTCTTTCTTGTTTCCCTGTAGAAACAATTGATTCAATGATTAAATAATATATTGAAGACCAGATTCTTACAAAGCTGTTAGGAAAATGGCACAATGAAAGTGAATTGTTCATATGCTTTTCTTCCAATGAGGTTATTGGGCATTTACAGGAAAAGTCCTCTTAGTACAAAGGATGAAAGAGCCTGCTTCAGGGAAGAAGGAGGTGATCAACATTTTGTGCTGATATGATCTGCTCAGAGGAATAGATGACTTGCCTGGGGTCTCTTAGGAAACCTAAAATCTGAGGAAGTCTGCGTAAACTGTCACCCAAAGAAAATGGATTAGTAGTTATTCTGAGAGATTGTCATGAATGCTTGGTCTTTGGAACGTAAGCATTATTTTATTTTATTCCTAAAGGAAGTCATATGACTCTCATGTCCCAACTGTCTTTTGTTTAATATTTTCCAAAATGTGTGTAAGGGAACGGCGAAAATGAAATAAAACCAAACAAAACAAACCTGTTCCTGGGAAGGGACAGGAACATATAGACAATGGATTTTCAAAAATATACGGAAGAAACTCAGTGGAAAAGAATAGTCTTTTCAACAAAACTTGCTGGAAATATTAGATATCCATATGCAAACAATAAGGAAAAAAAAAGAAACTTCAACCCATACTTTGCCCCATAGAGTAAACTCAAAGTGATTCATAGACTGTATGTAAGATCTAAAGCTACACAAATTCTGGAAGAAAATATAGGAGAAATTCCATGACCTTGGGTTACACCATTATTTCTGAGATAAGATTCCAAATCATGATCCTTGAGTGAAAACAATAAATAAATAACCTGACCTTTATGAAAAGGAAGATATTTGGGTCTTTGAGGGACGCCCTTAAGGGAATGGAAAGAGAAGCCACAGACTCGAAGAAAATATTTGCAAATCTTCTATCTGAAATAGGACTTGTATCTAGAATATACAAAGAAATCTCCAATCTCAATAATAAGAAAACAAACAGCCCAATCAATATTAAATAAATGACTTGGGGAGACACTGAGTAAAGAAAAGATGCACATGGCAAATAAACACTTAAAAAGAATGTTCCATATCTTTATTTATTCAGGCAATGTAAATTAAAACTGCAATCAGATACCATGACATACTTATTACAATGTCTAATATGAAAATGACTGACCACATGAAATATTGGAGAAGATTTGAAGCAACTGGAATTTTCTGCCACCATTGAAGTAAAGTTGTTTGATCACTTTGAACCAGGAATTCCACTCATGAGTATCTACCCAAAAGAGAGGACTGCACAGTCTTTACAAAGACTTGTCCATGATAGGCATTCATCCATATTTGAGTGGACAAAACTGTGATACATCTAGATACTACTACTCAGTGGTAAATGGGAAGGTACTATACAAGCCATAGTATAGATAAATATCAAAATAATTATGCTGAGTGAAAGAAGCCAGAAAACACACACACACACACACACACACATATATACACTAAGTTTTAATTTTTGTAAAATTCTAGAGAATATCAACTAATCCATTGTGTCAGAAACTCAAGTTAGCGATGGCTGAGACGGACAGAAGGAGGGATTACCAAGGAGCACAGGGATAATTTTGAAGCTGAGAGACATGTTCATCATAGTGGTTGGGGAGGTGTCACAGCTGTGTTCACCTGTCAAAGCTGATCAATTGCACACTTGAAATAGCTGAAGTTTTGTTGTCTGTCATTTATACCTCAACTAAGATTTTAAAAGAAATCATCTTTCAGTTCAGCTATAGAGTTACAAAACTCAATTCAGATACATAGGTTCAGTCAATTTCTGTGTTTTTATCTTCTTAATCATTATCCACCCATTTATTTCTCATTATTATTATGATCACCATAGTTAGGGCTGGTGTCAACCTGACAGCAAATTGTCTGACTCAGTCTTATTTAGAAATTGGTTTCTTGTAGTTTCTCTAAACTAGATTGGCTACTGTGTGGACAGTTCAGGAGGATGGCTTGAAAGAACACAGAGATCAATATCAGCAGCCATACACAAGGCAGAAATCTCATAAATTTTGGTAAGATTAGGCTGTACACCCATGGCAAAATGAAATTGTAGAGACAGATTTGAGATGGATTCTTAGGTAGGGTAATAGACAAGAATTTGTTCTTGTTGAAAATATTTCATTAATCTTAAATATAGACTCCTCTGAGGAACATTTTAATAACTGCTTCATGGCATAGATATCACATTTTAATTTTGTTAAACCAGACAGTAACATCTTTAGCTTTAGACATAAGTTCAAACACACCTCCTCAATGTTAAAGAAATCATACAGGAGTTGGGGATACAGATCTTGGACTGCTTGTCCCATTTTGGAACTCAGGATATAAGAGGCTAAATAGTACCATCCTTGAAATACCTCAGATGTATTGTGATCTCTTACTTATTCTAAAGGTCAAATTTGCAGATCAACGTAAGCTAGTGTTAAAGACAATCTCATTATTGAAATAACAGAATGCCATAAAAGCTCATCACTGCCAAACAGGATACCATAAGAAGATTTATACATAACCCAGGTCTTATGATTAACAACAGTTGGTTCATTATGTGTCATGTCAACAGACCACTAGTATAAAAAGTTGTGCAAATTCAGATTCTCTCCAACAACTGGCACACTCTCAGCTCCTCTGGGAGAAGGACAAGCACCAACGAGATGAAGATTCTGCTGCTGACTCTTGTACTTGGTCTGGTTTGGGCTGACCAGGAACCTCAGTCTGAGGACGACAAATCACTGGTACCAGGGGTCGGCTGATCTGGGAGAAGGTCTTGGTGGGGTGTGTATGTGTGTGCATTTCTCATACTTTAGTTCATATGGGTGCATCAGATTTTATATACACCTCAGTCTATGCATCTACATAAACATGAAATAATCCTTCTGTCTTTCATGTCTTTATATTTTTTCTTTTTATTTTTCTATAGATAAAAAAATCTAATGTGCCAAAACGCTACTATGAGTTGTCATGATATTTAATGTCATCGTTTTAGCTATTTCAAGAAGTTCCCCATTCCATGATTTATGTTTGAATATGGATTGTTATTTCATTTCATAACATTCTACTAGGTAGGGAGTAGAATCCGACTTTGCTTAACAGGGTCAGATTTATCTTTTCTTCTGAGGTAAATCAGAAGCAATGATTATGATGGGTGGTTGTCAGAAAACAGAAAAAAGATTGACTAACATTTCTTATGGGAGCTTTCCTTTTTAGATTACAGGAGAGTGGTACACCATTTCCATAGCGTCCAATGACATAGAGAAGATACGCGAAAATGGCTCACTGATGGGTTATGTCCGTCGGATTGAATGTAGCAACAACTGCGACCAAGTCTACATTACTTTGTATCAGAAGTAAGCAAAATTTACCTAAACGTAAAGCAATAAAACTGTTGACTTCTGACATGGTCCAGTCTCAAATTTGCAGTGAAGTGTCTGGATTATTTTCGAAAATTTGCATCTCTGAACTTTATTCATAGAACAGTGTTGTCAGTTTGGTGTCGTATCCTTGGCCATCAGCGTGACCCACCCTGGAGATTAGCACGTAACTTTCTCTTAGAGAGCATAGTGATTGAGCAGCTCTGTCTGAATTATATCATTACTAATAGAGTGATGAAGGCAGTAAGGAAGGAATCTTGTCTTGAAACCTGAAAATTATGGCGATGACAGTCACATCCCTAGGATCTGTGTGCTTGATTCTGCAGTTTTTACATATATTGGAAGCAGGTTATATAAAGTTCCTTTTTCAGTACACTTCAGTGTGAAGGGCTATACACAAAAGATTATCCACCTGACATTTCTGATGGCAAGTTTCCATCAATAAATTAAGACTTTCATGCAACAAGTAAACATTTATAGAATGTTTACTCAACTAGAGGCATTGTGCTAAAGAAGAGATTAAAAGATTGACAAAGAAAAAAATATGTCTCGCCTTAACAGTTCAAAATTTAATCAGGGTCACAGATATCTATGTTAAAAAAAATTTTAAAAAACCTCGATGGTAAAGATCATACTAAAGCATAGAGAAGTGAACACCTATGTCAGTTGGAGTGAGAAATGGTTCTCACAGGCGATGACATTTATTCACTGAACACTGAATGAAATTTTAAACCAAAAATCAGGGACAGAGCAGAACTAGTGTGCAGAGAGGCACAGATCTATTAAAGGTCACTGTGAGTTCAGGGGAGGTTGGATTTCAGCACGATCATGTACTATCTGTGAGAAGTGGATTGTAGAACACTAAACTGAAAACAAAACTCGGACTTCGTGCTGGAGAATTTCACCTGTCAAAATATTAATTTTATGTTTATCATGTGGGAAATCAGCATGGATGAAGCTTTAAAATAAGGGAATAATAAAATTCATTTTCTGTCTATCTGTCGTCTAGTAACTCATATAGTAGAGACTGTATTCAGGAAAATAATTTGGGGAAATTTTAGCAATGAAATAAGTAGATATGATGATGAGTAAAATCAACATTTTAAGAAAAATTGAGAATATGAAGAGAGAGTTTAATTCTGAAGTTAAATGCTAAAGTTTGAACTTGTCTGTCTGTAAAAATGGTGATACCGCTAAACCAAAGTAGAGAATAACTTATAAGAAAGAGAAAAACAAGTACTGAAAATAATAATAAATGTTGAATGTGAGCTATAAATTTGAGATGTGAACAATGGATTTATAAACATCAGATCTGTGCATGGTGGGTGAATATATATTTATACTTATTTCTATGTCTATGTTTGTGTATGTGTCTACCTGTGTCTCTATTTCTACCACTATCTAGCTCTATTTGAATCTTCTTGCTATATAAGTATAATCTGAATTCATGAAAGTTGAAGAGTTAGCTTAGAGAGAATGAGAACTTCAGAATCTATAGGAGCATCAACATTAATGGTAGAGGCAGAGATATGATTTTGGAATGGCGAAAGAGGTAAAGGTGGGATTGTTTATGATGGTGGGATTAGAGTGGCAATCCTCAACGTAGGGTGAGATCCTGCCTTCCCTTCTCCATGGCTTCGTGGCAGTATCTGGGGACAATTTTGGTTGCCACAATTAGGGGCAGAGGGTACTGGAATCTAGTGGGTGGTGACCAGGGATGCTGCTCCACATCCTGCAGTGCACAGGACATTGCCCCCACCACAAAGAATTATCTATCTAATCGCACGTGTCCCTAAGTGTTGAGGCTGAGAAACCCTGCAATAGAGTAAACAAAGCACCAAATAGTGTGGAGTGACTAAATGAGGCTAAGACGAAAATCATCTATTACTTTTGGCAATTAAAGTGCATTGCAACTTTTGCAGTTCCCCAAGTGTCAAAGAATATCCAGATGGGAAATAAAGAATGTGTTATTTTTTTGTTTTTAAGGATTAACAGGGTGTGCCAAAAGCACACAGCAGTGGGAACGAGAACGGAAAAAGACAGTTACACGGTCGCCTGTGAGTACATGATCTTTTCAGATGAGTGCAGGTTTTCAAACCATGGAAAGTGTTCAAATTCATGGTCCTAGCTCTATCCAAGACATCTACACATCTGAATCCTACAACTGATTCTGTTACTAATTACAAAAGCAATGTTGGAGAAGACCTTGAATATTCTAAGCATTCATTCTGTCACACCGAGTCAGGCTAAGGTACAAGTTTGGAAAGTTGCTATTGCTGATATCTGAGGACAGGTCCTAGAACATTGACTTCATATGTTCCTCAGACGTGGTAAAGTGTTTAAAGCTGCTTAAAATTATACTAATTCTTTTGAAACTTTTCTATCTCTTATTTGACCAACATGATCAAATTTGTCTATAACTAAATTCTTTAAATATTAAAAGTTGCCTATTAAAGTGTTTAAGAAGCATGATATGATTAATTTAATTCCCAAAAGTAAGTATGAGAAGTTAAAATAAAAACAAAAAATTTAAACCAATTTCTACATCATTTGAGTGTTAGTTGAAAGCAATGAGGGCATTAGGACAGACTTCTATCTGTATAGTTTAAAATAACTGTAAATAATAAAAAAATCAAAACTGAAATATTAAGTGATCAAATGCCTAAATGTTTGATTGTTATGGGAAAAAAATGTACAATGTGGTGTTCTAATCTAGGTTTGATAAATTTTTTTTATTTTAAATATGAATATGCAACAACAAGATCTAATTGGCATACAATTACAGAATATATGTGTCCAATATTTTCCAAGAAACTCATTAGTACCTCTCTTTTATTACCTATTGGACTAGGAAATGATATGTTTTGATTATGTAATAACTTTTACTTTAACATGACTTATTTAAGTATAAGTTTTTATACTTTTTAATAATGACTGTGCTCTACAATTGGGTCACAAAATTCCCAAAAATTTAACAATCAGTTCTTGTGAACTGGTATGAGAAGGCTGCTATAGATACTACAATAAGGAACTTCTGTATCATTAACAAACTATTCATGTTTAGGCAAGTCCTTTAATGTTTAGGTAAGTTTGGAAGACTGGAAATCTTTCCTGTCTTAAGAAGATAGGGATACTTAAAAAGCTTCTTCAGTAGCTGTATTAACTGGTTATAACACATTGCAAGAAATAGTAGTGAGACAAGATTACTGTTGAAGGAAGGGTTGATAACAGTATGCTAAAAATAAGACATATCAAAATTAAAATGAAGAAAGTTAATCACATTGAGTATTGATTTTTTTTTTCCTATCACAGTCTCGGGTGAATATCATTTCCAATTTATTTTTAAATTAAGTAACATCTTGGTAATTTATGCTGAAAATGATGGTGCAGAAAGCAAGACCACGCTTGTGACCGAACTCTTCTGTATGTATTATAGCTTATTCTATACAAATTAAACATGTTAATATTACTTATATTATTTATATTAAGGGTATAAGTAAGTATATGCATTACTTTTTATTAAGCACACTGGTGCAGAAATGTGTTAACACGTGAGAATTAGGATTTCATGTTGACTGGGTCAGAGATGCTGAAAGGTTGTCTACTGGTAATGAAGAAATGCATCCATTATGGGGTTCTATCAGATGGCTTTTGTAAAAGTTATACACACTTATTCTGAAGATCCAATAAATACACATCCAGGGTGGTTCATTAGGTTATTGCCAAATACCACACATTGGTATAGCCTGGTTCTGTCTCTAAAGTGAACCAAGATTTAAAATTTTAGTTCAGCAGATTAACCAGTCTCCATTCATGACTGCATTTGTCTCAACCACAAACACTTTATTTTATCACAATTGTTAAAACAATGCCTAACACTTGAAACATTGCTCAGCAAATAAGCACGAAATCATATTCTATTCCTCAAATACAGTGTTCTCAGGCAAGTCAACCATTTTGACCTCTGGCTAACTCTACAGGGCCGTTGATAGCTACATTCGAGCCCTTCTGATTTTATATCCACATTTGATGTGGATGGGGGTTGAACCTTGTCTTTGACGATGATGAAGGTTCAGTTTTTTTTCCTATCAGCATGGGTGATGGGGCTAGTGCACTTGGTGGAAAGTTCAAATCATTTTTTCCCATTCATTTGGTTAGGGTTAGAGAATACCAAAGTGTGGATTCTGAAATGTAGATAGAGTTGAAAGGAACAGTTAGAGTTTGGAGGGATTTCTGAACTCTCAGGCGTAACTATTACCTTCCCCGGATGTAATTTTGGAGACTGTATTCAATATGGAGATTCTCGAGCTCACTGGAGGAATGGTCTTTAATTTTCTTAGTAGTCCTAAGAACTGGAAAGTGAT